GGCTAGTTCGAACCCCGTGCCGCGCGGCTACACGCAGCACGGAGTAGCTAGTTTGGATTAGGCTTCCTAATCCGAACTAGCTGTACTCCTCATTCCACGAGGAGTTCGAACTAGCCGGCATTTAAAAATGGCGCCGGCCGGCTTCATGCAAATGAAGCCCGGGAAATTCAAATCCCGGGCCTCATTTGCAATTGCGGATGACTACATTACCCCTGCTAGTTCGAACTAGCGGGGTAGTGTAGACATACCCAGGGTGGTTAAACACTGGAATAAGTTGCCTAGGGAGGTTGTGGAATCTCCATCACTGTAGAAATTTAAGAGCAGATTAGATAGACATGTATTAGGGATGGTCTAGACCAGGGCTACTCAACAGTTTGGCTTTACACAGGGCTCAACACGTGGCCCGCAGGTGACAGCCAAAACAAAAAAGGAGTCAATATAATGGTCTTCTGTTGATATGAGTTTTAGTAATTAAATTCCTGGACTGTCATTGCTCATTAAAAGTGCTGTCACAGGAGTGGAAATCAGGTAAATATTGCATTGTATTAATATCAGCAAAACTGACTTAAATGGGGCTTGCATGTTGTTTAGTTTTGCCTTAATCTTTGTATTCATGCTTGTCAGTGTGAAAGAAGCTATTTGCATACATATTTGCATGTATGCAGGATTTTTAAAACATGTCAGCTGAGCATGGGTGATTCTAGGTGTTCACTATTTACAGTACAGGACATCTAAATGTGTTAAATAATATGTTTAACAAGCCATGCTTTTCCCCTACTCTAGACAGTGTCTGGTAGAAACACAACCGAAATGCCAAGTTCCTGTTTTCTGACCATGTTGTGCAATTATTTTCTTGTTTAGCAAACAGTCACATGGATCTTGGTGTATTCAATGGTGGCCTCGGTGCTGGGATCCTCGCAAATTTGTTACTACACAGGAAACATCAGTGCCCCACAGATGGTAAGCGAGCAGGAAAAGGAAATGTGGCGTGGAGGTTGGAGAATTGGATGCACAGTGCTGAGGAGCATAAAGGGACTGACTCCTATAACTAAAACACAGGGAAACAATACATTAGGCCTCCTTTCAGGCCCACCTTGGGAGAGGTGGGAACTAGCACACTGAGAAGCAGGAGAGTTCACTCAATTTCTTGCGTTATAATGAAACATTTATTTAATGTTCGCCATTGCAGGAAAGGACATAGAACTGCTGTGAGCAGAGTGCCTCCAGAGAGCTTCCCACTTACCAGAATATTCTGTCTGTAGTGCTTCCTTAGCCATCATTACCATATTTATCTGAGTACCTCACAATTTCTATTGTATTTATCCTCACCACTCTCCTGTGAGACCTCAATGTTACCAATAGGGAACTGAGGCACAAGGAGGCTAAAGGACTTGACCAAGGTCACAGGGGAAAACCAGGGATATGAATATAGGTCTTTAAAGTCCCAAACTAGTGTTCTAACTCTTGGACAATTCTTTCTCTTCATCACGTGGTATTTTTTTCACTGACAGTGAACTTAGGCCATCAGCTTCTTTAAAGCATAGGCTGAAATTATCTTAGCAGTAACCTAGAACAGTACAGCTCACCTCCCGCCCACCAAAGCAGGACTTTGTCCAGTCCTTATTTTAATTGTCCCAAGCAATGGACCTTTCTTCCTTTTCCTTGGGAAGACTCCAGTTGTCTCACAGACCCTTCACTGTCAGGGAACGTTTCCTGGTGATCCAGCCTGAAAACATCTCACCTGGCTCAGTTTCATTCCATTTGCTTCCTTTCTATCACCCTAAGCAATGTGTCTTCTTCCTTGGTGTACACCTTTTAATCATGCATTTGTAGAGTGTTATTGGACCCCACAATGTCTACCATTGTTTGCCATCTAGCAACGTACATTTAGCTTTTTAAATCTCACCACATAAATTAACCCCTTCAGACCCTTAATAGGTTGTGTTTCTCCTTTCTCGAAATTCCTCCCAGTCTGTTGAGTTCTTTCTGGAATCAAGTTGCCTTCTTTGCTTCTAGACTCAGTTGAGATCCCAGCCTCCTGCACCCTAGGTTAAGCTCCCAATACCCCTTAAAACTGGTCATGAACAAAAAGAATCCACAGAAAATGAGACATAGCATGACCACTGAGGGCTATGGGGATGAAGGCTTAGGGGAAGATGGGGAAGAAGGAGGCAATAGTGAGGCTGAAAGCTGAAGGGGCACAAAAGGGCTGTCATGGAGAAAGATGAAGGGTGAAGGGGTGAAGGCAGGAGGGAACTGAAGGAAGATGGAAGGAAATGGAGGAGGCTGAAGACGGAGATGGTGAGGAGTTAGAGGCTACGTCTACACTACGAGTATTGTGGCATAAGGATCTTGCACAAAAGGGGGGTTTTGTGCAAAAAGAAATTGTCCACACACAGAAGAAGAAGATTTTAGCATGAATTGTTTCTTTTTTACGCAGCTGATTGTGGAGTTCTTCAACCAGAGCAGTTCAAGGAGCCCATGTCTTCCCATGCTTTGGTCCTTCAATGTCAGCATGTTGGCTTTGGAGGCTCTGCCACAGCATTCATGGTGGGCTTAGTGGAAGGTACATGGAGGAGGACTGTGTTCAATCACCCCACAAAGGCAAACAACGTGCCACACCCATACCGGAGAGGAACAGGGTACTCTCAGAGCAAGTACCAGAATGGGGCCAGGTGAGTGAGGAGCTGTGTATTTTCAGGACCAGGGCCAGGGAAAAGGCCGGGCATGTTCTTGGTAGAAGCCGGTGTCTTTGTGCCAGACTAATGTACGCTCTGTGGGTATGTCTACACTAGCCCCCTAGTTCGAACTAGGGAGGCTAATATAGGCATTCGAAGTTGCAAATGAAGCCCGGGATTTAAACGAGGTGTACCGGTAGTTCGAATTAGTGTATGTCTACACTAGCCCCCTAGTTCAAGGAGTAACGGTAGAGATCCTAATTCGAACTACCTACTCCGTGCCACGTGTAGCCGCGGGTACGGAGTTCGGACTAAGGGACATTTAAAAATGGCGGCGCCTGGGAAGATGCAAATGAAGTCCAGGATATTTAAATCCCAGGCTTCATTTGCAACTTCGAATGCCTACATTAGCCTCCCTAGTTCGAACAAGGGGGCTAGTGTAGACATACCCTCCCTCCATAACTCTCCCTGCTATCTCTTTGCTCTCTCAGGCGCAAGTCCATCCTGAGAGCTAATTCCCTGTCCTCATGGCCGTGGCTTTCATGGGCAAGACAGCAGACGCCCTGGAGGCATTGATTGTTGGGCACTTCCTCATTGGAATCTTCTGTGGGCTCAACATGACTCCGATTCCCCTTTATATACAGGAGATATCCCCAATCAGGATCTGTGGAGTTGTTTTTACCATGAACTAGCTCTCAATGACAGTGGGCATCTTCATTGGGCAGGTAAAGAGCTGGCCCTACACAAGGATTACAATTATAATTTCCATCTAGAACTTTACAGCAAAACTCAGATCCCTCTGCAGCCGAGCACAGGCTCCTGACTAGCTGAGTGAAGAGAGAAATCATGGAAGTTCTGGTAGCTCCAGCAATGTGAGGGGCTTATGCGTAATAGGCCTGTGCCCATCAGAACACGAGGAGGGAGCATGAGGCAAGATATATCCCTTGATAGGAAACACTGAAAGCCTTTGAGGCCCCATCTATCTGAAACAGAGCAGTGCTGGTACAGAGGCCTGGCACACCTAGTAGCATGTTGCTCATCTCTTGGTCCAGAAAGGTGGTGGGTTTGGGTCTCTCATTCTCAGAATGGCAAGCACAATGCTTTCCCCTACTGGGCATGAGATAATGCTCTCTGGACAGTTTCTCTTGGTTTCAGATCATGAGCCTAGAGAATGTCTTGGGATCTAACCAATGATAGCCAGTCGCACTGTCTGCCATCCTCCAGTTCCTCACCCTCCCTTTTTGCCCTGAGAGCCCACGGTACTTTCTTATCAATTGCCACAAAGATGAACTGGCTGCCAGAGGTAAGGAACAAATGCCCACTGAAACCCCAAACCTGTAGGACTGTGAAACCTAGGTCCACAAGAATCAGACAGAAGGGATGTAATGCAGTTGTTCCTTGCAACATATTTTTTGAGCTGTTACCTATTCCCATGCATCAGGGCATAATTGATTTCCAGTTTACTGGAGAGTCAGGAATAAATGCCTTCTCAGACTAGACAGAACAATGGTGTGCTCCTGAATGGCCATGTTTGTGTTCTTACGGGTCGTTTGGAACCAGGGGGAGCTTTCAAAGGGGATCCATGAAAGGTTCAGAGGCCTCATTAACTCGTGGGGTACTGCAGATCAGGTGTGGAACTGAGTTACACTCAGAGCGAGGGTGCATTCCAAGGAACCGCAAATTTCGTATCTTATTTTGATGTTATTTTGAAATAGCTTCTTTCATCATTTGGCACTGTCTGCACAGCCCCAAATTTTGAAATAACCCACTATTCCGAAACGTCCCTTACTCCTTGTAGAACGAGGTTTACAGGGACCTCATTTACAGAGAGGGCACAATTATTAAGGGTTCTGTACTCTGTGTGCATGTGTGCAGATGTGTGTGTGTGTGTGTGCGTGACTAAATGTAAGTATAGGGGAATCTCAAGGAGAGGTACAGTTGACATTCACGATGAACTCTGACGGGGAGACCCGACAGCTGATTTAAAAGGTGAGCATTTTCTCATCACATTACATTGTATCTTCTTCTCCCAGATAATCAATTATTCCATCAAACTATTCCAGCTAGCTGGTGTTGCCCATCCCATGGCACACCACCATGGGAATTGGGGCCATTAACATCTTATTCACAATGTTCTCTATAAGTGCTTTAATACAGGCTTTTAAATATATTTTCTGGTTGTTTGGCTGACAGATAGTCTGTGCTGGCAGATATACCAGCCAGTATCCAAGGGGCAATCAGAACATCGGGTTTGCTCTCCTTATAGAAACAAAACAATGATCTGTTCATTTTGATATCCTGCCTCCTGCCAGGTGAAAACAGAATAATCATAGAATCAGAGTCTAGCTAGTCTGAAATTCCACCTCCTGCTAGACCAGATCCACACTGCATCTATCCAGTCTAGTAGTTATATTCTGCCCGATTGTGTTACATCCTCTGGTCAATCTAGTCTAGTATCTCACCTACTACTGGTCCTGTATTGCACCTCCCACCACTCTGAAATACACCAATTAGCCTGTCTGGTCTGTTATCCACTTTCTTTCCATATCAAAACTTATTATTCATCCGTCTAGTCCAACAATCCCACCTGCCATATTGACTAAACCAGGGGTGGGGAACCTAAGGCCTGGGGGAGCAGATGCAGCTCCCAGATCTGGTCCCTGAGGCTTGGGGCTCCCCCCAGCATCGGGAGCCCATGCTGGTGAGGGATTGGAGTTTTTTGTTTCTCACTTGTGTGCAGCCCCTGACTGACTTTTCTGTGGGTCAATGGTCCCCAATCCAAAAAAGGTTCCCTACCCCTAGACTAAACCAATGGATGTAGAACCCAGCTTGCCCAGATCTGGCCCCCATGGCTCAGGGCTCCCTCCCTCCCAGCACTAGGGAGCCAGAACTGGCGCACCAACTCCCCACCGCCTTCCTGCAGGGCTGGAGCACACAAAATCTACTAGCCTGACCCAACTAGGCTCTGGGGTGAGAGGGGAATGTGGGAAGTGTCTTTCTGCTTCTCAGTTGGGGGCCACATCAGTGAGGATTTTTTTTTATTTACTTCTTTTCTTTTGCTGCCCCCGGCTGATTTTTCTGTGGGTCAGCAGACCTTGACCCAGAAAAGGTTCCCCACCCCTGGTCTAATCAATCTGGTTGTATCCAGTATTGACAGCATCTAATGTTGGATACTTCATTAGAAGAAATAAAATCCTGTAACATTTTGCATCATTACATCAGAGTATTGAAGTTGGGCAGTGAGTTAGAAATGTCTTTCTTGCCCACTTCGGGTGATCAGTCCATGCCCTGGTGCATGGATAACACTAGAACTTTTCACTCATTTACACAAACATATTTTATGAATTTGTCAGTTTTCCTCAATAATATTCTACTGAGGCAAGCTGCACAGGTTAATGCTTGTAACCATTTGAAATCCACTGTCTTTTAGTGTTCACTTCTTGCATTAAGGAGAAATGGAATTTTGGGACACTCATATAACCTTCTGCCTGCCATTCATTATTTATAGTCTTCCATTATATCCTGTCTCGCTTTTATAGCTGATCTATAATGATAGGACAAGGCCAGATGAGCAAATGGAATTGTCCATCATTCTCCACTGAAATTCACCCTGGTTCTGAGTGGGTATTTATGGGTTATATCAGTAGTTTCCCAACTGAGGGCAACAACCCCAAATAGGATGGGGTTGCAGTGATCCCTAGTATGTGGAGAATACCATTTTGTTCCACACAGCTTGAATTCACATGTATGGTATATGCAAGTTCACAATGCATCAAGGATGCCATTTTGCAGAGAAAAACGGCATCCTCCGTGTGGTATGACCTCAATGTACAGGTGTACAAGATCATGCTGTGAGACGGAGGCCATTTTGAAGAGCAAAATGGCACCCACCATCCTATCTGGGGCCCTGGGAGGAAATAATTAATTAAAATGGGGTTATACCAATAAAAAGTTTGGAACCACTGGGTTAGTTACTTAGTATAAATGTTCAAGGGCTAAAATAAAATAGCAGAAAGAACCTCAAGACATATCAATGTTCTTCTCTTTCCTTTCCAGGTCTTCCTTGTAGAGAAACTAGGTCGGAGCAGCCTACTCATGTTGGGCCACTTTGTTATGGCTTTATGCCATATGCGGCTCCCCCTTTCCTTTGCTGTCTTGGTGAGTCGATTCTCGTGCACTCTTCTGGGTTTAAAGCCATATTCCACCTTTCATTACCAGAGCACAGTGTTAATGGTGCTATGATCCTGGGGTGTTGCTCTTCATTTTCTTAATATACTGCATAAGCTTGGTGTTAGGAGTGGACCATGCTACTGCAAGTGCTGTCTTTTCTATCCTGTCTTATTTGGACTTGCACCATTCCCAGGACCTCAGCTTGCAATTAAGAGGAGCTAGTCTGCTGGAGGTAACCAAGCAATGTTGCATCCCTTGGCACCTTAACATGGCAGCAGGATACATAATGCTGATGGAGGTGCTATCCTCCACCTACTTGATAAGCCCACTCTACCATCCTGTGACATATTCCATCTCCCCAAACCTACCAGGGTTCTGGGGCCCACAGTGCTGTTGTCCTTTTTAGTCTTGACAAGCTCTGTCTCCCAGCATCTCAGCCCAGCAGCTGCACTTCAGGGGGTGGGCAACTGGCCCTGACAGCTGTAGGACTCAGGGTGAAAGGTATTAACCAAGGACCTCTGATTCTGTCTCCCTGGTGTGCTTGGATGCGGATGAAGTGGAGAGCATGTGACTCTGAGTGGCAGAGCAGTCTAAAAGCTATCAGGCCTCAGCAGCAGTGTAAAAGGTCGATCAAGCACAGGGAGGTAATGCAGTAAAATGGCTGGCGCAGGGAAGTGGAAAACAATGTAATCTATGGCCTGGT